CCTTCTGCTGTAGTCCACGTCCTGTGCCCGAAGATAAAAATAAAACGCTGATGAAGCCAGAAAAGCAGTTCATTCGGCGTGCCTCACATCCCGAGCACCTCCGTTGACCTTTAATGAAAACGACAGTCTCCCTGATGGGAGCCAGCTGCCTCCAGGAGCCCAGCTGAAGAATCCGGAGGAGAACGGGACAGGCAGCCGCAGGCTGCCACTCCTGCAGCTGGGCCAGGTGCTTCCTGCTAGTGCCAGACTGGAGCTGAGTGCTTCTGAGGAGCCCGGTGCTGCTGGCATGTGCCTTCCCCAGCTCTGAGGCCACCACGAAAACCGGCCGGTTCCTGTCCTGGAGATGAGCTGGCGTGTCTGTGAGCTCTAGGAGGGCAGGGACCCGTCCGTCCCCTGGCTGTGTGGCAGTAACCAGACCATTTCCTAAATGCCGGTTGGTGCTAACGGTTCAGCTTCGACGTGGGAGGAAATGGCCTCTCCCCTGCCCCTGAGCTCAGCGAGCCCAAGATCCTGGAAATGTCAGGTGTCTTTTCACCTTGGCGGCGGCTGAAGGGCTGCCAGGCTGCATCGCAGAAGTCGCCCCAGCAGGCGTCAGCTGCGCGCTGGCGGGGCTGGCCGGGCACGCGGTTGGGTCCGCCATCTGCTGCCCAAGGAGATGCCCGAGGTCGGCCCTCCATGCAGCCCACGCAGTCTGCAGAGATGTGCCCGGGGAGACTTGTGCTTCACGTCTCTAAGGAGAGCCCCATGGGGAGTTGCAAACATTCCGAGATGGCATACAGTGGCCAGAAACACCACCAGGAGGATGGAGAAACGGGATGTGATCCAGCCCCACGAGCTCAACCAGGAAGGGCACTCGTGTCCCCACGCCCGCCCGCTCTAGCGGTGGCCACCACATGCCATCCAGTGGCCTTTTCTTCCGAAGCAACTTGCCTCGATCCACCATACAGCTTAAACATTGGTCTGGAGAAGATTCACACTCAGCCGACAAAGTCGCATGTAACTCACAACTACTTCAGGAGAGTCCCCACAACTGGGGCATCCAGGTTTGGACGGACCTGGAAAACACTGTGCTGAGTGCCAGTCGGTCAAGATACAAGAGGACAAGTGCGCGAGTCCCTGTATGGGGAACCTCAGAACAGAGAGCGGCATGCACGCCTGGTTCCCCGGGGGCGCGGGGCGGGGAAGAAGGGGTGGAGGTATTACTGAAGGGTACCCGGTTTCCGTCAGGATGGTTCACGGGACACATCTAGCAAGCCATGAGTGCCCACGGGCACCCAGTAATGTCCCTGGATCGTGCACACGCAAACCGTTGGAGCTGCAAATGCTTTAGGTGCCTGGGTGTGAGCCTGAGTTCCTGTCCATCAGAAAGGAGGCACCACCTGGTCCTCCGGGCTCGCCTAGCCCCGACCGTGCGTGTGGAACCCAGGCTGCCCCGGTGGGGACTGTTGGGGCCCCAGGGCACAGGCACCACTGTCTGGAGACAGCATTGACTGGTGTCTGGGGGGAGGGTGTTTTCCGTATCTGTCTGTGTGGATCCTCTTTGCGCCCTAAAGATGAATGGGTTTTGTTCTGGCTGGGACTTTACCTCCCGGTCAGTAATATTTCCAGCTCGTAAGAAGGTCTCTTTGGGATCGGCAAAAGCAGGGCATGGATCTCGGCTCTGACACCGACGGGTTCTGTGAGCTTCCGTTTTGTCCTGTGTCAGATGGGGGCAAGGATGCCTTCTCACAGGCTTGCTGTCACGATTTGTCCCCAGTGCCCCTTTATAGGTCACCCCCCTGCCCCCTGCCCTAGCCAGTCTCTGGGCCCCTCATGGACAGGGCCTGGTGTTCTCCTAACTCCAGAACTACAAGATCATAAATCTGCGTTGTTTGAAGCCACCAAGTTTACGGGAACGTGCTATTACAGCACCCACAAACTGATTCTGACTCCTGACAAGTCCTCCAGTAGTGTGGTCAGTTAAGCATTCCACTCCTGGTAACAAGGTTGATGGTTCAAACCCACCCAGAGGCCTTCTGAAGAAACACCTGGCACTCGACTTCTGAAAGGTCACAGGCTGAAAATGCAAGGTCGCAGGCTGAAAAGGTGACGGAGTGGCTGAGTGACACACGGGTCGGCCGGGATTGACCGACAGTAACGGGAGAAAGTGAATACGCTTCGCTTCTGTGGCTGGGTTTGAACTGACTCAACCTTCTCAAAGAGGGTACCCCAAAACCCAAACCCACTGCCACCGAGGGAGTGAGTATGTGCTGACAGATAGTGACCCTCTAGAATTTACGAGAGTGTAAATCTTGACAGGAGCAGATAGCCACAGATCGCCTGGTGGGTTTGAACAACCAACCTCGAGATTGGGCAGCCTGATATTTAACTTATGGCACCACCAGGGCTTCTTAAGATGATGAGCCTGCCGTATTTGTAGTTGAGTGCTTCATTGTGTGTGCCACCCAGGGGTCTGCAAATCCGCGTGGGGCGTTCATGCCAGAGTCTGGCCCATCCTGAGCCCAAGTGGTTTCTTAGAGGTTGTTTTCCAGAATGTTCAATGTCTGCATGCGAGCGTGTCGTGAGACTGCTCGAGGGAGGGCAGATGTAGCCAGCTTGTGATGATGGGCTTGCGGGTCCAGATTGTCCTCTGACATCCTCCTGGAAGGAGCCCTGGTGGCAGAGTGGGCTGAGCATCAAGGCTGCTAACTGCAGGGCCGGGGAGAGAACCAGGGGTGCTGTGTGCTCCCGTGAAGATTCAGGCGGCAGCCGCTCCGCTCCTCTCTGCGCTGACCCATAGTGACAGACACTCTTAATAGGACAGTAGAACTGCCCCCTAGGGTTTCCAAGGCTTGTAGATCTTTATAGAAGCCCACTCCCTCACTTTTCTCCCCAGAAGCTGTGGGTTTGAACTGCTGACCTTTCGGTTTGTTAGGAAACAGACCACTGCACCGCCAGGTCCCTTAAGGTAGAGGGGGAACTTTTAGACGTGGCCAGATTTTCCTGCAGGACTGTGCTGTTGCGCACTCCCGACAGCCGTGAATGAGGATGCTGGTTTCCTTATGTGGCGAGGTTATTAAGTTTTAATCAAATGAAGGCCCAGGAAAAGGTGGCTATATTTCTCCAGGGGATAAAGTGTTCTTCATCCTTGCTTACAAGCAATAAAAGCTTTAAGAGAAGCGGAGCGCCCAGAGGCCTAGTGGATACTGAGGGGACAGTGCCCTCTGCTGGCTGTGCCACCTGAACTGCGGTCGCTGGGGCTATGGGGGTACTCAGAGTGGGGGGGGTCCAGGAGCTTCAGGACAAGGTTTTGAAGACACTGACGGTTTAAAACAGCCTCAGGTGCCACTTAATTCTCCCCTACAGCCTTTCAGAGCAGTTCAGCTCACCAGGGATGTGTTCTTGCCTCTAAGGAACACTGGTACTGCTGGAGACGTGAGGAGGAAGCCCTGGTGGTGGCATGGGTTGCATACTGGGCGGCTAACCATGAGGGCAGCAGTTCGAACCCACCAGCCAGTCTACTGGAGAAAGACAAGGCTTTCTCCTCCCATAAAGAGTTACTGTCTTGGAAGACGTCAGGGGCAATTCTGCCCTGTTCTGTGTGGTTGATGTGAGTTGGAATCCACTCCGTGGCAGTGACTTTGGGGGTTTGGAGTGACTTGGCTTCGTCTTTGGGGTGGGAGGGAGTGGCAACATTGGGTGGTCACAATGGAGAGGGGGTGGGGTACTCCTGGCTTGTTATGGATCGAGGCCAGGATGACGGTCATCACCATTGAACAGAGCCCAGGACGGCCCCTGCCCCCAGCCCCACACAGCACAGGCTCCATAAGGACTGAGGTTGGGGTTGGAGAGCCCCGATGTAGGGGAGGGGTTGGATTTTCCCGAGGAGACTTCTCTTTTCGGACTGCATAAAGACACTGTCTCGATATCAATGTATCGCCTGCGTCACGGTTCTAGGAACTTGTGCCGGACGCAGTGCATGGTGTTTCTGGAAGAGAGGGCAGAGAGGGTACTCGTAGGAGGGACTTGGCTTTCTGTGAACTCCGCGTGGTCCAACCTGCCTCGCATTCCTGTGGCCTTCCCTTGAAGGCCTAAAATAGTTCTTCACTGGACTCTCCCCCGGGTTTCACACGCCGCGGGTGTTCGTAGCATTTATCATTATGCCTGGTCTTCCAGAGCACAATTACCATCTGTGGTTGCGATTTACTGTCTATCCGTCCATCTCCCCCACCCCCCGCCCCCCAAAATGAATGCTGATTGAAGCATTGTTGCTAAAAAGGAGAAGGAACACTTCTAGAATCGCCCCAGAAAAGGGTGTGCGCAGAGGGAAGGATGACAAGAATTCTGGGAAATCAAACTGCACCCCAGCTGACTTCAGCGCTGAGCTGAGCCGGAGCACGCTGTGCCACTCATGCTGCCCTGCCGTTTCCAAAATGTCTGCGTCTCTCTCTGTCGCTGTGTAGTGGTTCTCTGCACTGCTTGCATCCTGGAACGTGTGTTCCTGAAGCTGAGCTAGTTCTATCAGCTGGTCTCGATGATGTTAAGAGATTTACTTTGCCAGAGATGGAGAGAAAAAAGGATCTACAGCATTTCCTGACACATCAGATATTATTTTGATCTTAGCAAAGGCTCGTTAGGAGGCTGGAAAAAAAATCTGCATGTGCACCATGTTCGACACTTACTTAAAAAATCAGAATGGAACCATCTGGGTATTGTACAGTAAGTTTACCTTTTATTGTGGTGGTATGTGCATATACACAACACCACCTGTAGCAGTGTGTATTTATTTGTGCACATATTTATAAGAACATATGTTTGTATGTGTGTGTTTAAATATAAGTCTATCAATTAGACTGAATCCTGCTATAAAATACCTTTTTTCCCCTAGGGTCCCTGGGGGGGGGTCAGGAATTCAGAAGCCGCTGGCTGCGGTCTCCCAGCATGGTGGCATCTGGCTGGTTTTGCGGCTCTCCCGTGGAAGGTTAAAGACCCATGACAGCGACTTGTCTCTCACTTTCCAGGCGGCACCCGCGAGATCGGCTCCGCGCTGACCAGGATGTGTATGCGGCACCGCAGTATCGAGGCCAAGCTGAGGCAGTTCTCCAGGTGAGCAGCTCCACGCCCAGACAACAGCGTGGAGCCGGAAGAAGCAGCTGCAGCAGCCTCCCCTTCACTCGCTTCCTGCTGCTCCGCCACCGAAGCAGGACATTGGTGGGGCAGAGCCAGGGCCAGCGGCCTGGGCCCCCACCCTCCGTCAGGCTCAGGAGCTGAGCTGGCCCCCAGCCCCCAGGACCCTTTGCGTGCTCCAGAGCCAGCTTCTGCCCTGTCGGCTTTCACGTGACCAGCGAGGGCTGACCGGGGGTGTGGGGACCCCAGTGTCCAAATGAAACGGTGACACGGGCCCTGGTTCCTAGCAGACTGTCACAACTCAGCAGTTTCACACAGTCCAACTTTGTGCAGAGCAGGTTGCTTACGTGCCTTCTTGGCAGGGCTGCCAGCAGATGCAGCAGAGCGTGGTAGGGAGCAGTCTCTGCACACGTGGGTTCCAATCCCACCCGTTCTGCCGTGTAATCTTGGGCCCACTGGCTCAGATGGTTAAGCGCTCGACTGCTAGATGAAAAGTCGGCAGATCGAGCCCACCCAGCAGCTCCCTGGGGAACCATGAGCGATCTGCGCCTGTAGAGATTGTTGCTATTGCTGTGATGTTTGTTGCTGTTGCTGTTGTTGTTGTTGTTGTTGTTGGTAGGGGCTCGTGAGTCAGTCATGGCAAGCCAGTCAACAATGAAACACTGCCCCAAGCTGGACTGCCCTCTCAGTCCTCACGACGTGTGAACCCATTATTGTAGCCACCGTGCCAGTCCACCTCATTGGGGCTCATCTTCTTTTTCACCGGCAGTTCAGAAACCCCTGTGGGCAGTTCTACTCTGTCCAGAAGGCCGGTCACTTTGTGCCCAGAGAGACTGAGTGACATCCAGAAGCAGTGGCTGTCTGGGGCAGAGAGGCTGGGGACACTGCTCCCCACTTGGAAGGATTCGTAGAAGAAGGACCGATGTGCCCACAGAGCACGTGGTCACAGGAGCCCACAGGCTGCTGCTTCCTCTGCGCTCATGCGTGTAAAGTGCTGCTACACACGTGTCCTCCGTAGGGTGCCTTCCCCTTCACGATTCAGAAGCTTGAAAATCGTCTCCTCCTTCTTTTCTTTCTAAGCCTCTCCACAGTCAGTCTCTGTGTGTGCGCGGATTAAAACCAAGGCTTCAGACTAGTTCTTCCTGGTTCGGCCGTGGTGGGCAGAATAAAACCAGCAAAAGGACCTGGATCTGTACAACGTGGGCCAACCAGAGGACTACGTGTAGTAGACACCCTGCTAGAAACATGGTCGCCCTCGTAGGAAACAAGTCCAGCACATGTGCATTGCGTAACACCCAAATCTCTTGACTGGCAGAGTTGGAGACAGCGGTGCCCCTCTCCAAAACAGCAGCGACCCTGCTGCTCGGAGTGTGTGCTGCAGTCCACCGCGCCACAGTCATCCAGTCCCCCGAGGCTCCTGAAGGGCTCGCCGTGCAGCTCCTGAGTTGCCCGTATCAGGACTTTGATCTGTAACGTTTCTACTTCAGTTATCATTCTGCCTCACCTGGGCCTCTTCCATTTTCACTGTGTTGGCCATGACCGAACCAGTTCAGAGGCTCATAATCCTGGATGTACGTCAGAATCCCGTGGGTCTCTTTTTTGGTGGGGGGAGGTCTTTTAAAAACAGTCAGGCTGGAGCCTTCCCCTCAAGGCTTCTGCTGGGCTTTGAGTATGACCTCGGCATCTTTCTACACGGTTTCTACTGTGCAGCCAGGGTGTGACGCACTGGTCTGTAACTTTGCCTGTTCCACGGGGACTGGAATATAAGCGGGGACATGGGAAGTAAGGTCGCTCCAAACAGTTCCACTTGCACCTTCTTAACAGCCATCGGAGTCGCACTCAGGACAGGGCTGTTTCAGGAGCTAGATGGTGGGGGGTAAGGTACACCCTTTTCACCTGCTCATTGTATATTTCTTGCTTCAGATCATTGTGACTTAGGGACACTTCCATACCCGATGTGAATCCTGACAATACAATAATATGCATCAAGGATGAAGTCTCACTCCCCCTTTTCTTTCCTTCCTTCCCCTTTTGCTGCAAGTGCTTTGATTGACTGTCTGATCAACCCCCTTCAAGAACAGATGGAAGAATGGAAGAAAGTGGCGAACCAGCTGGATAAAGACCACGCGAAAGGTACTGGGCAGATGTAACTCAGAATGCAGCTCTGGGGATTGCTGCGGCGGACTCTGTTGGCCGCTGCCTTGTGCCGTTTCTGGGTGCATTGCTATCTGGGTCACATTTCTTGTAGGCATTTCAGTGCAGGAAGACAAGAGGTCAGAAGTGATCCTGTAGCAAGGCCCAGTTCTGTTTGGGTCTTGAAGCATCTCTCAGCAGCCTCGGTCAGGTTGTTAGTGGTGTTGATTGTGATCTGTAGAATTAGACGTGGGTTATAATAGAAAACTTAGGTGCCAAAGATTCTTACATAAGACATTGCAGCTCCTTTTGCAAACCCAACTTGTAATGGTACAAGCTGACCTGGTATTACCTGCCCAGAACTGGCTCTTCTCTTTGCATATTGCCTCTGGCAGATGAGACCATCTCTGCTGGGACTAGTTCAGGCAATTGTTGAGGATCTTGATGGTATCTTTCATTAATTGCAATGCCTGGCCAGCATCCTCCCCTCGTGGGTTCTTCTTGAGTCACATTCTGTGGAGATGAGTCTTGGGGGAAGTAAATAATGTTGAAAATCTTTCCTAATACTTGAAATGATGGTTGCAAGTTTTCCTGGCTGAAAATTTGAATAAAAATACATTGGCAAATGAGTCATTTTTATTAACATACTCCCTGATGATATGCTTCCTAGAACCGATATTTGCGGTTTTTATAGAAAAAGAGAAGGACTGCCGTGCAATTTTCCTATTTCTTTCCCTTTTTTGTTGTTGTTTATTAGTTTGAGAGTAACTTGTGTGTCACCAAAGACTCCCAAGTCCATTTCAGTTTTACTTTCTCTCCTCTTTTTTTTAAGGAACTTAAAAAGTCTTTGCAAAAGATCGTCAGACCTTACCACACTGTATTCTAGTAAAGGTGATGGCATATCACGATTTACGCTTTCTGTAATACTGATGGTGTAGTGGTTCCGTGTTGGGCTGTGATCCACAAGGTCGGCAACTCGAAACCACGAGCTGCTCCTCAGGAGAAACACGGGGCTTTCTACTCCCGTGAACAGTTACCGTGTTGGAAACGCACGGAGGCAGTTCTACCCTGCCCTGTGGGCTTGCTACGAGTCCACACTGACTGGAGGGCAGTGTGTTTGAGTCTATAATACCGATGAGAATGCCTGTTGCTAACATATGTTCTGCTGAAGAAAGTAACCAAATTGTTCAATATTCTCATTTCCCTTAGAGTATAAAAAAGCACGCCAAGAGATAAAGAAGAAATCCTCCGACACACTCAAGCTACAGAAGAAAGCCAAAAAAGGTAACTTTTAAAAACACACACACACACCTTCCTGTGGTGCGGGCGAAAGACCACAGAGCAAATTAGTGTCCCTTCCAACCATGTGCGCATCTTGTTGCACGACTTCAGCGGGGCTCCCTCAGTGTCACATCCCCTCCCACTGTCTCGCTGGGCTCCTCATGCCCGTCTCCCTGCTGTCCCGCCTTCTGGGCTTTGTTTTCGGACAGATGCTGCGGTTTTGGGTTTGTGGGGTATATTGTTCGGAGGAGGGGGCTCCTCACAGAGCTTGCTTCCTCACTGCACAGGCTCAAAGGTGATCCCCAAGGAGAGGCTCAGTGCCAGGTGTGCAGGGTGTCTGAGGCCCATGCTCTAAAGTTCTACCAGTCTCTATCAGACCAGTCAGTCTGAGTCTTCATGACTTTGGTCCACATTTTTGCCCTGTTTGTCCAAGACCTTCCATTATGATGCGGATCAGAGTGGTTGGTGATGGTATGGGGCACCATCTCGCTCCGGCCTCCAGGTAGCTGGGGTGGTGGCTTGTTCAGCCCATTGGTCCTTTGAGACTAATTGTTTGCTTGAGTTCTTTGGTTTTCTTTACTCTTCTGTGCTCGACAAGGAGAGACCAATCGTTCTCTTGTAGATGGCCGCTCACAAGCTTTTAAGATTCCAGTCGCTACTCAACAAAGTAGGACGTAGGATATTGTCTCTATGAGATACGGGATGCCGGTTGACCTAGGTGTCCCCTGAGACTATCCAGCCCCCCATTCCCTCGAGGCTTTTTGATTAAGACTGAGAAATGTTTATAGCTTTGCTTCTGGATGCGCTGCTATATACAAAGACTCCTTCATAACACATGAATACTGTGTCAAACCGATAGAGAACTTTGGGGTGTTCTTCCATCTATACTCATTCCACGCCTGTGCAGCTTGCACATCAACCCAAGTAGCCACACTGAGTCTTGTTTGTGGTGACTGCGATCGCAGGATTGTGCATGTAAGAGAATTTCCCTCTGTTGCCTTCTACTCTTGCACACCTCCCAGTGCCTTCCTCTGCCGGGATCACGTGTGCTCACCTCCCCCTTAGTGCTGGATGCGCGTCTCTTCACTCAACAGGCCTGCGCTGTAGTTCGTGATTCCGCCCCCTCTCCTCCTCCTATCCCCGGTCATTGTCGAGGAATGTGCTTCTGTAGGTAGACGTCTTCTGCAGTGTTTATCATCATGACCTCATGCAATGTTTGCCTTTTCGTGCCGACTTCTTTCACTCAGCACAGCGCCCCCGGTTCTCCCGCGCTCTGAAATGGTCTGTGGTTTCTTCGTTGTTCTCTGACCCTGGATGTTGCTTCATCGTACGAACGAATGTGCCTTAGTTTATCCACGCCTCTGTTACAGGCACTTGGGTTGTGCCTTTTTACTGTTGTGCATAATGCTGCAGTGAACATGGGTGTGCATGTATCTGTGTAGCAGCTTTATTTCTCCAGGATATCGACTAAGTTCTGGGATTGCTGGAGCATATGGTATCTCTATTCCTAACTTTTTAAGGAAGCACCATATTGTTTTTCTCAGTGGCTGCACCATTTTATAATCCCACCAGCAGTGTTTTGAGACTTCTAATATCTTCAGACCTTTGCCAGTGTTTATGGTTTGCTAGGTTGGTTTGATTCCCCCCCATCATTGTTTTTTGCCAGATTGAGATGGTATCTCTTTATTGTTGGGATTTTCATCTCTAGTGACAGATGACTCCGAGGATTTCTTCTGTGTGTGTATTTGCTGGCCACCTGAATGTCTTTTCATGTCATTTGCTTTTTTAAAATTGGATTTTGTTGTGGTTTCTGTTACTGGAGGGGAGGGGGATTTTGAAGTTTTCTTAAAATTTTAGAGATTAGTCCCTTACCAGACACACTGCCACTTTCCTCCCAGCCTGTAGGTTGTTTCTTCAGTGTTTTCAGAGTCATCTTCTGATGCACATCATTGTTTTAGGAGGTCCTAGTTGTCTAGTTCATCTTCTGTGGTTTTGCGTACTTTCGCTTGTTTATAGACCGTTTCTGCCGTCGAGTAGAGCTCCTCCACTTACCCTGGTTTCCTTTCTTGGTCTTTACATTGTAGTGTAAGTTCTAGAGTTAGGTCTTTGGTCCCTCTTAGTTTTTCTGTGGCATGAAGCATGGACCCTGTTTTGCTTTTCTCCAAACGGAGATCCGGTTTTGCCAGTGCCCTTTGCTAAAGAAACTCTCCTCCCCATCCAGTGGATTCCAACCCTTTGCCAGATATCACCTGTTCATTGGAAGATGTATTTCATTCCGGAAACCATGAGCATGCCTTATGCAGTTGACCTCGGTTCAACAGATCCCTTTATTGATGTTTATCTGAATGTACCTGCTTTTGCCACAGTGATTTAGGATGTATCGTGGTGGTGGGTGGTGTCTCTCCATTTTGTGACGTCATCCCAGGGCCTCCAGGCTCCCTGCTGGGAGGCAGACAGAGCCTTGGTAGTTCTCCTTTGTAGGTAGCATCTGTGTTCCCAGCTAGTCTCAGGGTTCTGTCTCTTTGGAAAGTTTATTATAGGCCTTGGTGATCTTCTTTGGGGAGCTAGCCTATTTGGGATTCGTTGAACTTCTTGGAGGGATATCTTCTCCTCTTTCATATTAGCAAATTTTCTCCCAGCAAATCTTCAACAACTTTCTCTGTTATTTTTTTTTAACCCCTCTTGTTTGGCTTTCCAGTCACATATAAATCATACTTTTTGATATTGTTCCACTTACCTCTTAGGCTTCTTTTTTCTGAGGGTACTTCTGATTGATATAAAGGGATCCGTCCTCTAACTCACTGATTTTGTCTTCTCAAATTGATTCAGTTTTACTCGGCTGTCTTTCCAATTTGTTTCGGTGTTAATCTGGGTTTGTCCTCGCTGTTTTGTATCATTTTTTATGTGCCTAATTAGTTTAACATGTGTGTTCTTCTATCGTTTTCCTGAGTTCTTAGAGAGTTTTGTCTTGGTTTTCTTTGATTTTATTATTTCTCAGGCTGTGTCCCTGTTTTCCTAATTTGTTGGAAGATGGTAGATATAATTCCTTTGAATCCTGTTGGGTAGTTTCAGTGCTGTTGCTCTCAGGGGAGTTTTCTGGCCCTGCATTTTGGTCACTGGCTCGGGGGTTTCCTGTCCTGTTTCATTGTGTGATTGGGAGTTATCTATTGTCTCTGAGATACTGTGGAACCATTGCCTTTATGTTGATTATATGTTATTTAGCTTCACCCTGTTTTTCATTTGTTTTGTTCTGATAAGTCTAGATGGACAGGGTGGGTGTGCTACTCTGGTCACTAGTTTGCATCCCTGGGTACTCTACACCTGTTTCCACTTGGGCAGGTAGGACATGGGTACGTATCTTGGCTGCTCATATGAACCAACAGAGGATGGGCTGGGCACGTGTCGGCTGTTGTCTGCCATCGATCCAAAGGTGCAGGAGTGGGTGTGGCATTCACCAAGTGGGTAGGGTGGAGGGTGTGGTTAGGAGTAGGGACATGGTCACCACCTCCTTTTGGGAGGGAGTGGGGTGGCAGGCACCCATCTATTACCATCTCCCACACAGGGGGATGGGAGTGGTGGCCTGGTTTGTGTGCAGTTAAACACACATCCCTGCCTTGTCAGGCAGGGGCAGGGGCAGGTTGCAAGTGTGGAGAGAGTGGCAAGCGGGTACACATAGAGTCATGCTGTCACAGCCTTCCCACAGGCCAGGTGGAGAGCTTGTTACAGGCCGGCACATGTGCCTGTGATAACACGGCATTGCTTCTCATCAGATGGGGGCAGGGAGGGGAAAACTCAGGTGGGTCAGCAGGTGGGACAAGCAGCCAACACTGTGCTGGAGTGGCCTACAGCAGCTTAGCAGGCAGGAGGGACAGAGTGAGCAGCTGGCTCCATGTCCAGGGGTCCTGCTACCCCTGGGCTGGGCCAGGAGTGAGGAGTGGCAGTGTGCCAAATGCTCATGGCTGGTGGGTTCCTGGTGCTAGATCTGTGTGAGCACGTGTCCCAGCCCCTGGGGAAGTGGTGTGACATCCTGTGAGAGGGCCCACCACCAACAGCGCAGGCTGTAGCACACAGCACATGGCCCCCGAGAGTGTGGACTGAAGTCCCGAAGGCGGCAGGTGCGCCCGTGTGAGGCCCGAGAGAGCGTGCACTGATGATCATAGAGCAGCGGGGTGCAGACCGTGACCCATGTGGGTGTGCACTGCGAGCCATCGGGGCACAGGAGTTAGATAGGGACACCTCGGGTGTTGGATGGGGAGTGGGGAGGGGACCCACCTGGGGTCACCAGGAAGGTGTAGGGTGGGAGGAGCAGCACATACTCCTCTGGTCATTGGCCTCCAGCGTGGGCACCAGTACCCTCCTGGCAAGTGCTGTCTGCTTCCTGCCCCAGCTCAGTGCCAGGGGGAGATCCTGCCCCAGCCCAGCATCTGTAACCACTGCACTCTCCTGTCCCCCTGGGCCCTAAGTCTCGTGGCCAGGGTTAACTGCTGGTAAGTGTTCTGTCTGTTCCCAGCTCCCTCCCTGCTCCATGTTCACCTGAGGCTTTGTGGTTCTCTTCCACTTTCCTTCCTAAAATATGGCCTCTGATGGGCTCCCCTTGGCTCCCTCTTGACTTCTCTGCCCTCAGTCTCTCTCTCAGGGGGATTCTGGGCGGTTGCCCTTTAGTGCTCCTACCCCCGGAACACTGCTCACGTTGTCTGAACATGACCATGCTGTGCCAGCCTTGCGGTGGGGCATCTCTGCTCCCTCCCTCGCCCCCTTCACTGCTTCTGTTGAACTTCTTCTTCCAGCCAGTGTTGGATCACATCCCTTACCCTTTCCCCTGGTGCTTCCGGGTTCCATCTGTCCTGCTCACTCGGCTTCCCGGGTCTTCGTGGTAGAGGGTTGGTGTGGTGGGTGTGTCTCCCTAGGACACAGTCTCAGCCCCTCTCCCCAAAAAGGTAGTTCTAAAACTGCCCCTAATACTTCGAGCACCGAAGCCCATGCTCGGTAGGCCTTGGAAGCAG